CCTTGGAAAATAAGTTGTTCTGTGTACAATGTAATGTGTACCCACAAAAGAAATTTTCCACAAATTCTGAATTCTAAGGCTATGCTTTTTACAAAAATAAGAGCACTATGATTGTATTTCTTAAGTAGTAGTTAATGTCAAACTTGGAAAATATTGACAATTATGGCAGTATACTACCATGCTTAAAGCCCGGCATTGCCAAAATTCTGAGATGATAGTAACATGGTCCTAAAGGGCGCAATGAAGTCAAAACTTGACTTCAGCCAAACTCGAAGTCGAACCGAACTCGAGCCAGCTCGTTAAGCAATCCAGCCGAGCTTGAATCCAATTCTTTTTAGTTCCTGGGCTCACTAACCATAACACACATAAACTTACATTTAGGACTTGAAAGATAGGTTAACTACCAATCCAAGACCAGAATTATTAAAATGGTTGATATAGAGCCCAAATGATTGAAAATTATTAATCTAAGACATAAAATATCATAGAATTGGATTCCTTTCATTTTAATTTCTTTTTTAAAATAAATAATTTCCTTTAACCTATCAATCATCCGGAATCAAGATTGACCATTTTCATCTTTGAGATTCTGGATTGATAAAGTTCCATAAGTAAACAAATAGATAATAAAACCTTTTATATATTATATAATTATATATATTTCAAATTGTAATTGATAATAAAATAAGTAAAAATGCTAGTGAAGGAGAAAGAAGCTAATAAAGTGAGGACAACAAAGTACAAGTATTTTATATTCCCTTCGTCCCACAAAACTTGGATTTATTGACTTTGTTCAGTCAATGATGGTCAAGTTTGACCAATGATATTTTAATATGGATTTAATTAAATTATAAAAATTATATGGATATTTTCTGTGTTAGCCGGCTACGACATGGCATAGCAGGCCATTTTTAAATGAGAACCAAGCGTAAGCTATAAATAATCCCAACTATCATCGTTCTCTTTTTAGCAATCTCAATTACCAACGCTCAGTTTTTAGAAGATGCAGATTTTTTTTATATTAATTTCCAATCTAAATGTTTTAAATCATGTAAAAATAATTACGAAAATTTTCAAATGTACCGAGGTTAAATAAAATAAATTTAGTCATTTTTTATTTATTTTCACTAAAATTTCATTTTTTCTTTTATTCTGATTAGTTTTACCTAATTAGTTTTTTGCTTTTTTGTTACCAATTTATGATTGCATAATATTTTCCTTTATTCAATTTTGCATTTTCTTCTGTCAAAAAGTATATTGTGATTAAACATTTAGGACTTAGAGCTTTATTCTATCTTTTTTCACGATGTTGTTTAATATTTTATGCTATCCTAATTCTAAAATATAATTTTTCAATTTTTGTGATTTTAGTATTTTTATTTTCTTTTTATTTTATTTATTTTTAAATATTGAAATATTAAGTAAAAATAGAAAAATAGAATATAAATTAGAAATTTTCCAAATCATAGAAATTAAACAATAAATTACATCATATAATTTATAAAATATAATAATATAAAATAAAGAAAATAGAAAGAAATCAAAAATACCAAAATGGAAAAATGAAAAATTTTGATTTTTAGAATTAAGATAGCATAAAAATTTTAAAAAATGTGAAAAGAGCTAGAATAAAGCTCTAAATCCTGAGTTTTTTAATCACAACATACTTTTTGAAAAAAGAGAATGTAAATTTGAATAAAAGAAAATAATACAAAATCATAATAGATAATACAACTGGGAAAAACCATTTGGAAAAAAGAATAAATGAAATTTTAGTAAAAATAAGAGATTTTTCCTTAAATAGTACTAACAAAAAATGTGGACAAATGTGACTATAAGTTACTATGAGTAAATTTTATAGTCACTACGATGTAACATTTGAATATAGTTATAGTCACTGAAGTTACTAAAGTCACATTTTTGTCCACTATTTTTATTTTCATTATATTTTTGGAATTATTTATAAAATAATTAAAAATGGCCAAAAGAAAATTTTATTTAACCTTGGTACATGTGTAGAATTTAGAAATTATTTTACATGATTTAAGATATTTAGTTTGGAAATTTATAAAAATATTTTTTCGTCTTCAGAAAATTGAGAGTTGGTAATTGGGATCAATAAAAAAAGATCAACTATAGTTAGGATTGTTATAGCTTACGCTTACTTCTCATTAAAAATGACATGTTATACCAGGTTGTGGTTGGTTAGGTATTATTTTGGAAAATGACCTCAAAGTTGAGACCTCCCAGAAATAATCGCTAGTTGAGACTATTAATACAGAACCGACAATAGTTGGGATTATGAATATCAATTTTTGCTAATTAATACAGTTTACTCTTTTTTATTTCTAATAAAGTTTAGAAACTTTAAACTTTGTTAGAAACTTTAATCAGTTTTGTTTAACTCTAAACTCCATGTTTTGTGGGATAGGAGTATATCATTTTTATAAATTTAATACTCTATCAAATAATTTAAAAATAGAAAACTTAGTCTTAGCTAGAAATCGAGTTCTAGCATCTAATTCGAACCTGAGAATATCAACATTAATGAGCAAAACTGGAGTTGAGCCCCATCTAATTCGAACCTGAGAATATCCAAATTTATTAGGCTTTTCACGCTCGAGCTTGGGCATTCTTATCGAGCTCGAGCATGCCCAAGTTCGAGCTCCGCTGGGCTCACTTTCACCCTACATACTCCTTTTGTAAGTTTTTCCATTCATTTTTTATTTCCACTTATTTGGATTTCTTCCCCAAACCCTCACCTTCCAGGGATGCCTTCATGCACCGAACTGCTTTTATTTAGATTTCTTTATTTTTTATGATATATGATAGTACAAAAAAACCTAAAAAAATTGTGGGACTTGATTTTCCACTCTATTTTCTTTCCCTAGTAAGTATTTTTTAGTTCAGACCGACCCCAAAGGATAAAGGAAAGCATTTCTCTCCGGGGAAAACTAGAAAGCATTTTTCAGGAAAATATGTTACGGAGTATTTCATTGTAAATAAAGTGAGCTTGGTTTCATTGCTTTCAAAATGGTCTCACTGTTTTTTCTACCCTGTGAATGAATGACGTCAAGAAAAGGTTTGAGAAGAGTATACCTTTGTCAAGCATTTGAATCTCATCATTTGTTTTAAATCTTTGTTATGTCTGGTGTATTCAGGTTCTTGCAAACTTTGACATTCCAGATCCTTGTTCATTTGTTGAGCTTCACTTGGAGAAACTCTTCTAGCATCACTTGACTTCACATTGGGCATTCACTTGAAACCCTTATAAACTCTTCTACTCAATTTTGTGCGGGTGCTTCTACATCAACCCTCTAGAATCCCCATATAATTTATGTTGCTCATAGCCATTGATCAAGTCAGAAGCTCCACAAAAATAGTGTTATCAGTGTGGTGTTCAAAATTTCCCCAACATCAAGATTAAAGCCATTGAACTATCAAAACTATTCGAAAAAGAAATTTATTTGGTTTATTGGATATTTGGATGTAGAAAACTTGTACTCTGATAGTCTGGTATAAAATATCTATACTTCAGCAGTTTTTTTCATGTCACCGTTCAGCTAGGATCTCTTTGTAACACGGCAAATGTTAGGGAATGAGAATATGAAGGAAACTACTTGAGAAGTCTGGAAGAGAGGAATATGATGAGGTCCATGAGGAATATTAATTTATTAAATGTTGGTCTTTTAAAAAATGATCCTAAAAAACCAGCAAAAGTGGCTGCATAATTAGGTATGGACCGGTTCTGGGCCAGGCTCTGGGCTGGTCCAAAGCGGGTTTTTTTGGTTGTGGGGATAGGACCGGGCCGGGCTAGGCACGGTCGTTTTTTTAATTACTAACAACCCCCCATCCAAACCAGTGGTGGACTCGGGCCGGGTGGCCCAATCCGGAATCAGAACTGGCCCGGTACTGTTGGGCCTGGCCTGACCCGTTGGTCCGGCCAGGGACCGTTCCGGGTATGCCTGGCCCGAGGGATTTTCCGGTGCGGGCTCGGGTCATGTAAATAAGGAACTGGCCCGGTTCGGGCCATATTTTTTTTTTTTTTTTTGTTTTTTCAATTTTTTTTTTGTTTTTTCAATTTGTTTTTGAAAACCCGGGTTGGGGCTGGGTATTTTGGGCCATTTGGGGGAGGGGTTAGGGGTTAATTAGGAAAAGGAAAAAAAATAGAAATTAGCCCAAGGCCCGGCCCAACCCGACGGAAACCCAGGCCTTCCCCCAAACACAAAAGGCACGACTGGACCTAGGTCCGGCTCCACCCCTATCCCAAACCCCCAAAACACCCCGTCCAACCCGTCTACCACAAAAAAAAATGAAAAACCCAAAAAAGAAATTAATGTTGATATCATAAATACTTGATATAAATATTAATCATTAATGTAACCAGCACTATGGCGCTATTAGAGCATCTCCAATGTTATAATGTCCACGTTGTATATGTGGCATGAGTGATAGCCACATAAATATTAGCAAATAAATTATTTCTCTCCTTAATTGAATGATTTTATACAATTTTGGTAAGTTTTTCCCTGCAATGTCAACAATAATGTCAACATCTAGATGATCTCCTTGACAATGTGGAGAGAAATTTACTAAAACTGTATAAGACCATTCAAATAAGGAGAGAAAGAATTTATTTACTAATATTTATGTGGCTATTTCTCATGCCACGTGTACACCGTGCACATTTTACCATTGGAGATGCTCTTAAAGTTGAAACCGCAGATGTGGAGAACGAGACGCTGCACCGTGGTGGGCAGCTGATCTAAAATACTCTCAGTTTGTCTGTGTGGGATTTTTATGAGGAAATTGTTAAATACAAATCAAAAGTAGACGAGTCCTAAATTGCTAAAAGCGTTTGTATTTTGTTCATGCAAAAGCTTTGCACAATTTATGAATGCGTAAAAACATAAACTTTCTGAGATGGGGGTCTCAAGGCCAATTGGCCAAAACATGTAATTTTAATTATTTTCAATCTTATAATTTTTTGTAATACTTAACCGGGAAAAGGTACACTATTAAATTATTAATGAGGATAATAATAAGAATGAATCAAGGATAGCTGCTATATGATTACAACGAATTATTAGATGTGAATGAACGGAGGGGCTTAAATCAATGTATGAACACAAACTGAAAAGGGATCGGAAATCAGAATCATCAGATAGAGAACAGAACCAAAGAGAAGAAAGGAACAAAAATAGATTTTCTCTCTAGACATTAGAGGAAGTGAGGAACACACGAAAAGAGACACTGAATACATGCCGAGTAAAAAGGACTGAAATGAAGCAGAATGCCTCAATGCATCTGACCGTTTCTGCCATTACATCTCCGAAAGCTGGCTCGCCTTTTCCAACAAAACACATCCCCAAAGCAATACGATACATCTGCTGCACATGATGTAGTGCACTGAAGCTCAGCTACACGATTGTCATCAGGTCATGAAGAACCAACCACAATAAAAAGTATAATATCATCAGCACACCATCAGACGTATCACATCTATAAACTCCTTGAGTATAAAGTTGGGTGCAAGTTGTAACCACATTACGTGCGTATCCATAAGGGTTCCTCTAAAGAGAAAGAGGACTTGTCATTTTGGGCCGCCTGAATTGCTGAAGTACTATCAGGAGGTGCATACACAGTGATCGGAAGAACCCACTCACATTTCTCTCTCTTTTCTATCAGAAGAGGATGCTCATACCTGATCACATCAACATCGGTTTTTTGGACCAATTTCTATAAAACTGTTTGTGTGAGTTCTATAAATATGATGAATGACTTCATTTATTTAATTTACCTAGTCCAGTCCACATTCTTAGGACTGGTGAAGAATTCGAACCGAAGAGCCCAGTGCACAGAGGCGTGTCGTGTAGAAAAAGACATGGGCCCATCGATAGGAATGGAGAACAAAAAGCTTGTTTGCAACAAGTCTGCAACAACTTCATAATGATCACTGTAAACCTGTCATAAGTAAGACATGACACATTAACATTGATTTGAACTGGGTTAAGATAATTCTTTCAAATGTTTAGAGCTTGCAGAAATCAATCAAAGCTGAAGTCCGCTTTCTTTTACAGCTACTTCAGAAAAAATTTGATATATATGGTGTGTGCCCCTCTATCTAAACTGACTCTTACTATTTATTTTGCATAGGTAGGGAACTAATGAAAAAAGTGTACCTTAGTAATAGAGGGAGCATGTCTTCTTGAAGGATGGATAAAGCGTCTGCTTATAGTCTCGGTCATCTCCAGTGTTATGAAGAGCTACAAGGAATTCTCAAATGAATCAATTTACTACTTTATAAACATAACATATCTTAGCTATTAGCTATAAATTCTGCATTTGTACATAAAAACTGCAAGGTGTATTCACTGTGAGACAGTCTTAAATAAGAGCATGCCGGTCTTTTATAGGGATCCTTAATATGCCGGTCTTTGATAGGGATACTTAATATGCATAAACTTCTCTAAAATGACAGTTATTTTGGGACATTACGAATACAAGTATCAAATGTATTTTTAATGTATGACATCTGTCAAGAATAAAAAGTATTCTTGTGCAACCATTGTAGCATGAGGTTGTCTTACAGGAAACCTAGTGTAATCTTTAAAAATCTTACTTCTAACGTCTGTTTAATAAGGGACAAAAATAACTACAGATTAGATAGCTAGGGACTATTAATGTTAGCATGCAAATACTATGGGAGTATGAATGGAAACCACAATCAAGTAAGGGTTCCACCAATCTGTAACTTTCTGGTGCTTCTTCATACCTCAAGACATCTTCTGGTGCCTTCTTCATGAAAGAAAGTAAGGGTTCCACCAATCTGTAACCAAAGAGAAGGGGAGGGGGGTCATAAGCAATGACAATTAAGTAGTACAGGCAGAGCATCATACAAAGTGTACTTACCATATCACTGAAATAGTAAGTTGATTCAGAGTTTTTTGGAGAAAATCTTAAAAGCACTTGATCATCAAGCCTTATGTTATAAGATCTTCCTCTAATGAACCCTTCTGCTGTAGAAAATGTTTAGGGCAAATTAGTTATTACTTATGAAGGATCAAAACCGCTAACTTACAGATTGAGGAGAAAGCAACAAAAATGTGTAGAGAATCAAAAGCAATATGACTTACATGCTCCAGATTCACCAGTTCCGGAAACAGAAGGCGATGATGTTGATTCATCTTCTGGGGAAAATGGTTTTGCCTGTTTCAGCCGAAGGCTTGGAGAGACAACAGTCCCTTTCTTACTTGGGGACAAAACATCTGCTGCTAAATATAAATCATTAGAAAAGAAATTCATGCACTAAAAGTGAAATGATCGATCATATCACAAGAAAACTGGAAAGAAGTTATTCTATTAGTAATATCATAATCAATTCCGTAACTTGGTTTACAAGTGAACAGTGAGGTGGCTCACCAGCACATGAATCAAATGAAATCTCAGCTACAGATAATTGAGGAAGTTCCATATGAGAAGGTATTCTAGTAGTGTGCCCTTCAAGGAGTGAAAGGTCTTTGCGTGAAGATCTTGCAGTAGAAGACTGCAATGACAATGAACTTCCAAAAGTTGTGTGTATATTTTCCTTCATAGTATTATATGAAGAAATAGACGAAACTTCATCCCTTGAACTCTCACAATCGTCCTCAATACCATCAAATGGTTCATTAACTTTGGCCTGTAAGAGAAAATTTAATAGGTAAATTAGTTTATAAATTAAACAAAAAAAGCAGAGCAGTTTTATCTTTCTTAAAAGAGCAAATCCATCTAAAGTGATTTACACCAAAACAAGTCAAAAAACCCCTCAAACAAGAAAACCCAGCGGTAGAACTTAACTAGAACATCTGTACTCTTCATTTTTTTCTCCAGCAAAAGGGGGGCTTATCTCGTAAACGTATACATATATAATATAATTTTGGCACTTATACTTCATTTTCAACTGTATTTCTTCTAACCTGACCTATCTACTAAACTTTTAGAGTCATAATTTAAAACTAAACAATGGATATTTATAATTGGCAGTGGACTGAGTTACCCAATCGGAATCACCATCCATCTCTTTCCAGTAAACATCCAACATGATTGGTGTGGTAGGAACAATTCCTGGAAATAACAGTTTTGCATGATATCATTATATCAATTAACATGAATATAAAAGAATCTAACATGCTTACACGCCTAAAAAAATAATTGCTAAATAAACAAGGGAAGATTGTCATGTTGAGTTAAAAGTAATAGCATTTGTTCTTTTGTTTATCCACTTAGAATTTAAAGCCATTTTCAATTTTAACTGATAGCCTAACTTTGCAGGTAACCATCACATAATATAGGAATTTAACCCCCCAACCCGTATGTTAAATATGTATTGATACACGCACAGCAACCGGAGGTGCAATGTATGACAAGTAGAAGTATACTGCACGATGCATATTAATGAAGGAAAGAATTACCATCTGTTTCGCTATCATCATTTTGCAAGCCATTACCATTCTGAGTCACCCATATCTGCAATGGTATTCGGCTTTCCTGAGTGAATTAAAGTGGAGGGCCGTCAGAGACCAATACAGATCTAGTGAAGCATGCACAATATAACACCCATATTTATTCTTCTAACTAAATATTCCAATAAGAACATGAGTTCATTGCACGCGCTAAATAAGAACTTGTTTGTCAGCTAGGGAGGAGGAAGCATCTTCAAAAACACAAAGAACTAACCTGCTCGGGAAGTTCTCTTATTGATTCTTCACTGAAGCGTCCATCCTCTACTATCAAATACTGTCCGCGTAATGTGCTTCTAACATAATACAAATAACGGATGGTAGCACCTCTATATGATGGTGGTATGATGCTTGGCAAAATAGTTCGCACTACAACTGCAATAATGTAGAACATGAAGTAATCTTTGTTTGATACATATTAAATATGAAATTCAACTTGAAACTATTTGAAAAAGAGAGACACTTTGTATACCATGCATCTACTCACCCACACATATATACACATATAAAATGATATACTAAATGTAAAATATACATATAGACAACTAATGTAAAATTTTAAGAAAATAAGGCAAACTAAATTAAAACTAATATAAAATGATCATGTTGTTTCCTGAGATATACTTAATTAAAATGTAATATTATATAAATGTTTGTGTATGGTTTGTACTAGATTTTATATTAGCTTTATAGTGATACAAATAGAATATTTTTTGTTTGTCAAAAACAAAAGGTCATAATGATTGGTTCAGCCCATTCCTGTAACCAGTTTGGTCAGTTCTCACATCTCACTTGTTTTAATTGAGGTGGGTCCATTGGCTTATTCGGGTTGGCTGCCTGGCCAATTCCAAGTTCTACTCCGTGGTTGGTTCCAATTTCTAAGTTCTTAAGGGATTTACACTACTTTAAGCAAGAGGCATTATGAAACTATGAAAGGTACTAACTGAACTTGAATTTCCAGTTCTGCACATAGAAAGTCTGAAAACCCTCTAGCCAACTATGGAGTTCAATAATTGTAATTTTGAATATTAGGAACCTACAGGAATTCATCAGCTATCTTGTAGACAGGAAAAGACAGAAAGGGCAGATCTGCCAAGATAATCTAGAGGAGCCTATATCACGCAATACAAATGCAGAGGATGTGCAAAAGTGAAAATACAAAATAGACAATATCACAATACAGGCTTACATTTTTTGGTTTCATCATAGGCAACACCTTTATTTGATACTAAAGCAGGAGTCAAGTAATCCATGAAAACAAACTCACCTGAAGAAGGAGAAAATAAATAAATATTAATCCAAGAGGATTTATAAACTATGTATCAAGTACCACCACAAAGACACACTCATTTGTACACTAACATGAACACATGACTCACACACAACGAACATATGTACCAAATTTTTTCTTCAAAGGATGTAAGAAGCTTATGTTATATTGTTATCAAAGTCCCACTCCAATACATTATAAAGATAAATAGATAATAGGATAGTTATCAACTTAATGTACTTTTCTCTACGGGAGTCTGTTGTCAAGGACCATCAACTTTGAATTCTATGAAACAAGATTTTCCCTCTTAATATCCCTAAAAGGCTAATGTACTTTAGTTGTTAGTGTTTGGGAATTGGAACAACTTATACCTTTTGGAGTACAGTGGCCCTTAATGCTAAATAACTAAATATGCAATAAACATCCTAAAACTTTGACACGGAAGATCACGATGAACAGAGGAGATCCTATTACACTTTAAGAAATAACTTGACAGCATCTAGTCTAAGTGCAACAGCAGTAAATACTTGAGATATAAAACACATAGATTCTTTATGCTCAAATTATTGTTAGATTACGACATTACAATCTCTGCATAAGTCAAAGTACATTCATTTCAACCAAGAAAGTCCATGCAGCTCCTCCATATTTCATTCTAACAATAATATGCATGTCTTCCTTCATTAAAATAATACGAAGTATATAATAGACAACTTCTTTTATTGATAAATAGTTTTGTATCAAAATTCTACTTGAGTCCAACTTTTCAATGTTGCAAGCGAGTTTTGTAGAGCACCCTCTATCACTTCACAAATAGAGGATGTATGGCAACATTAGAGCTAAAATCACCAAAAACAATTGTATAAAAAATACTAACCTATCTATCTTTTACATCACGTACATTCAATTGATATGTCAAAGTGATCACAACTCAGTTTCTCAGCATATTATGTGGGGGTCAGTGTTTTTATATTGGCATTGAAAGAAGAGTGCTGTCGAGACAGAGTAGGTACTCGCCAGAGATCCTCCATGGGAATAGTGAGGTGGCTTCTTAGGTCTTGGGTCAGCTAAGAGAACAATCTTCCACTTCTTAAACAGTTAAACATGTTTCTAAGACCATCTTGTTGTGCATTTATTTATTAAATATCATGCCTTTTCTTCCGGAACTAGTCTTTATTTGAGTAAGCCCCCTTGGAAATACAGCTAAAATGAAGTAAAACTGACAGCAAATTAATGTAATGTTATCCATTGGACAATCTCTACTGGGCAGACAGTATATAAAACCCCAACTATTGGATTCCTGGCCATTTAATTATTCCTCAATCACAAAGAAATGCACATCTAAAATGTAACGACATGGGTAGGCTCCAAGTTTAAGCATGCTGATTGATAAGCCAGAAATATTGATATGTAGAACTGGAAATCAAGGAAAAACTTGTGAATGTAAGTACACAGACATAGATATAATGAAGAAGGGAGCGGAGAGAACCCCTGCGCTGCTTAGAGTCGGGAGACGATTTAGCAGTGGAGAACCACTGAGTATCCAATTTCTCAATCCCTTTTATTTCAAAACTGAGCCTCTCGATCAGAAGCGAGCACGAAGAAGCGCGGTTCGTGATTTCAACAGTTATAGTCACCGGATCGCCAGGCCTATACACTTCTCTGTCCAGCTCCAGCTTCAGCTGCGGAAGCGGCAGATCGGCGGTGTTTCCCTTGCTTTTTTCCCCGCGGCCACCTCCTCCTCCTCCTCCAAGACCTGCAGTGATGCCGAGGAACGAGAAGCGGCGGGGAGGTTTATCCGGCGGGGGCATTGAAGGGTTTACTCGGATGAAACTAAATGAGAATTATACCAATAGAATCTCAGGAGTTGAGGATGAGAAATTGTAAATTAGTTTCCAGAATAAGCGGGTGGGGAAATTGATGAGCTATCTTAGGATACCACTGAATCACAGTGTTGTTGATTCGAAGATTTAGATCTCAAGTGAGGGAGACCTCATCTCATCGGACCAATTCCCAGAAAGATTTGAACATAGACGGGTCGTTTGTTTGTTTTGGAGGAAGTTATGGCGGGGGGTGGGAGACAATCTGTCAAATGAAATGAAGGCATTGGCATAATGGATTAAAAATGTGTCTTTCGTGTATTTTTTAACATAAAAAACTTTAGCAATAAATAAAAACTTCAAATTAAAAAAAAAAAATACTAGAACTATTGGAGTTTTAGTGGACAAAAATGTGACTAATATCTATTTGGACAAAAAAGTAATTTAACCATTTGAAATAGTACTTTATCCCTATCTGGCCGTCCACCGTTTAACTTAACTTGGACGCACAATTCTCTCTTAAGCTCTACGTTCCTGCTGCGCCGCCGACCTTGTTGCCGTCGCCCTCGGCTACACCGATGACCTCGTCACCATCCTCAACCTTGTCGCCGGCCACCGTAGCAGTCGTCCCCCAGTCATCTCCCTCCCCTACGCACACCAGATTTTCTATTTCTTCTCCTTCTTTTCAGTCGACGGGAGACGGATGGGAGTCCAACGCCATGAACGATGTCCTTCACGCTAGGGTGGGTAGGAGAAACCGAAAACCGAATCGAAAAAACTCGAATCATAACCAAAGCAACCGAACCGCAAGAAAACCGAAACCGAACTAAAAAAACCGAACCAAACCGTAGTTGTTTGGCTTCGGTTCTGGTTTTCACATCTCAAAACCGAACCGAACCGAATAAACCAAACTTTTTAAAAGTTGTTATTTTATTTATTAATCATTAAGTATAATATTTTGTTTAGTTATTAATTCTTAATTCAGGAAAATTAATGTTTGATACTAGATTTATTATGATTTGCAAGATATTGACATTTAATATTTATGGTCTAATTAAGTGAAACACTTATAGATACACTTAAGTCTATTGCTATAATACTAATATGTTGATATTTTAAACCGTTATTTACATTAAGCTTGTTGTTGCATGAGAATGATACTTTGTTGATATATTATATGTTATGTATGTTTGTTATCACATAATTTTTCATATTGAACAAATATGTATTAATATAAACTATACTTTAAACAACATAGCAGAAAATGTGAAACTTTAAAGCATAAATATATTTCTCTAAAAAGAAAGTAGATTAAGTTATTTACTACTAAAATGTTAACTTGCGAATACAACGTATATAATTCACAAATAAACTCATGTGTTTAATTAATTTAGAAAATGATTAAATTGGTATGCATGTACTCTCTAATTCATTGCTTGGAAGTACATTTGTTTCTTCTCTCTTTTTAATTATGTATGTTTATGTATTGTATTACTATTAATAATAGTTTGATGTAGTTATTTTTTTTGTTTTCCAATTACTGTTTTTCTAATCAACAAAAATACTTTGGTAGAAACCGAAAAAAACGAAACCGCACCGAGATAAACCGAACCGAACAAACCATGATTCCAAATTTCAGAACATAAAACCGAACCGAACTTTTTACTTTGGTCCGGCATTTGATTTTAGGTGAAAACCGAACCGTTTGAACCGAACCCACCCCTACTTCACGCTCAATTTAAGCCTCCGCCGCCTAATCTCCGCTGCGACCCCTGCACCCACCTCTGCCGCCCAAACTCTGCCGTCACGTGCAGCCCCCCATCTCCATCGCAACCAAGCTATAATGTCAGACACGTTTGGTAGGGTTTAATTCGAGGACGGCGGCGACACGTTTGAGATTTTAAGGCAGCGATGGCGGTTGCCTGATAGCTAGGGTTACGACGATGTTGGCGGACTGGGGATTGAGGAGCTAGGGCTAGGGGTCAAGGAGAGTGGTTGAGACTCTGGATTTGTGGGGTGGTGATGGAGCAGGGGGATGGGGGTGGGCAGTGGTGGACTTTGATGGGATGGCGGGGTGGTTGGGTTGCCGGTGGACTCAAATGACAATGGGTGGCAGTGCTGGTCGACATCGGTGGCGGACTGCGACAATCAACGTGGTGGTCTGCAGCAGCGGAGGTGGTCGGCGATAGTTATTGGACTGGATAAATGTGGTCGGTGTCACTGCGAAGGTGTCACTTTAGATGTGGCTTATGGTCGACGACGGTCACCAGTTAGCAATGATGATTGGTGGTAATTGCATCAGGTGTCACCATGGTCTTGTATTGTAACTGTAAATAAAGTCACTGCAAATTAATCACATTTTTGAAAATTAAAGAAAAAGATCACTTTTTGGTCATTTGTTTACTTCTTAGAAATATTGAAGTAAAAAACCCTATATTTTTTCTTGTAAAAATGAAGTATAAATAAATAAAGTTATAACACATTAAAAATAGATTTTTTTCCCTAGACCATCGGTGACCTGACAGTCTCACACCCTCCCACCCTTTTTCCCATCCATCTTTCTTCTGTTTCGGACAACGTGGGGAGTCTATCACCTCTAAGAACATAGTTTTAATTAGGAGTCCAAAAGTTCTACTTTTAGCATTTAGACTCCTAGTCCTTTGCACTACCAATAGTCATAGAATGTAAAAGAGTGAGCCATAATAAGAATTAGTGATATAAATTTTCCTTTTGTATCTCTTTGGGGTTTTCAAAATAGTATTTTACCAAAATTCTTTTACATTGTTATCAGCTTGTTGAGGTTTATTCCTTCAATTCGGGGGCCCAACACGTAACCAAAGGATTTCGAGTGGAAGAGTGTATGAAATATGAAGTGCAAGCAAGTAAGATGAGCTAAAATATGTATACACCAGTGGGTCGTATCTTATTAATAATAATAATAAGGGTCCATATACAACACACTATGCTACCTGGCCTGAGAGTGATCGTCTTTCTCGCTAAGTAAGAGTTGAGAATAAAAGCTAGAATTCTAGAATGCTAGGGAGAATAAGTTGTCAACCCTTTACAATGAAATAAATGCTAGTATTAATACTACCAAGGGGTAGGTGGGTACGCCGACGTGGAGGGCTGTGGATGGCTAGGATCCCAACCACCAAATCTTCAGCATTAAATGCGCTTCCCGCCAGAATCTGGGTTTCCCGCCAAGGTTTAGGGGCGGCCGTCCCTATGAATCTTGGGTCTTCTCTTGGTGACTGTCCAAGGGGTAGAAGCCGAGCATCTTCGGCGTATCCTCTGGCCACGGCTGCTGGAGCATGCTGGGTAGCCTTGATGGCTGGCTTCTGAGGCCGAGCATTCTCTTGATGAGACGAGCGTCGAGAGATGCCTTTATCCATTTGTGGATAGCTGCCCCAAGGTAGGCTTCGGAGCCCGGAGACGTGCATCCGGTGCTCCTTTCCTGTTTGGCTTTGGGGTTATTCACTTAAGGGGATAATGGGCCGGCCCCTGGTTGGGCCATTAACCCAACACCGTTTTAGACACGAGCACTTCTGGCAGTTCCGGCTCTTCTTCCACAACCAGATCCATTGTGGCCGATGGTGCAAATGGTTGAGGTGCCCAATATGAGCAGTTCTGGCACTTCTGGTTGAGGTTTATTCTTTCGATCCGGGGGATGGTGCAAATGGGGTTGTTGCACCCCAGGAAGACGTTGAGATGGACATTGCGCTGGAGAACGCTGCCCATAGTGACACAGCCTTAGAAAAGGATGAGGAGGCTCGTCTTGAGGAATACGATTTTGGAGTAGAGGCCGTTGATGGGGATGACATGCAGATCTTCGACCTGGGTATGCCTATGGATGTTCATCGTCATATAGTGCCTCTGCATAATGTAGCTGGGGTCAAACCATATTTCTCTGACAAGGCCCTCAAGGAACTGAAGGTCCTTCTCCCCCCGTCGTTCGTATGCAGCCTCCGGGGTGCAGATAACTTGTTGACACGACGACCGAGAATGATACTGGTGCATATGGACTCCATAAAGGCCGGATTGCGATCCCCCTTCATCAGTTCTACCTCGACTTCGCTCGCTGTTTCGAAGTCGTTCTTGCTCAATTCATGCCAAATTCGTTTCGGTTTATCTCGGTATTTATCGGTCAGTGTGGGGCTAATAGTGCGGACTCGAGCCTGGATCTCTTTAACTATTTCTTCAGGATTTCTCCTCCAAATTCGGACGGATTCCTAAGCGTCTGCGCTCGCCCTGGCCGGAGGTTGTTTTCTGGGGCTCCGACCTCAATTCACGATTGGAAAACCCGATTCTTTTTCCTCCGCCATCCGGACGACCAACTTCCCGTACGGTGGAATGGATATCCATCGAAGATTGGTCCGCCGCATTTGACAGATGATCTGGAGGAGGCCATTAAGAAAATGAGACGGGCGGCCTCGAGGACTTAGAGGGGTATCTTATTCCCAAGGCACTTGCCAATGCAGGAATAGGTATTGCCCGTGTCTCTGGAGTGTGATTCTCTCCTTATGCTCGTCTTGGGATCCCGGGCGATCCTGCTTCTAAGGTAAGCGTCCTTGAGATTCACACCGCCCGATGCTGACATCCATGTTTTCTTGTTTCAGGTCTTCGCCCCACCCCAGAGCAAATGAATCTCGATCAGCTCCAGAATAACAGGAAGGCCAAGAGCCCCAAACTCAAGGCGACTGCAGAGAAAGCCAAGGCCAGTAGGCCGCCATATCTTCTGAAGCCAACTCCTCGGTGGCTTCTCAGGCCGATAAGCGCATGGAGGAGGCCGAACATCAATTGATCACGGCCGTAATAGGCAATGCTTCGAGGCCCCTGCTGGCCCTTCACAAGATGTGGAGCCACTGAAGGTTGCTCTTCCCCAAGGCGGGGGTGCGGCCACAGACGACGCCAGTGTTGAGGTTTATTTTCTTCAATCCAGGGGCCCAACACGTAATCCAATGATTTCGAGTGGAAGAGTGTATGAAATATGAAGTGCAAACAAGTAAGATGGTTTAAAATATGTCTGCAACATTGGGTCGTATCTTATTAATAATAAGGGTCTGTTTACAATACACTATGCTACCTGGCCTGAGGCCGAGCGTCTCTCTCGCTAAGAAAGAGCTGAGAATAAAAGCTATAATGTTAGAATGATAGGGAGAATAAGTTGTCAACCCTTTACAATGAAATAAATGGTACTATTTATACTATCAAGGGGTAGGTGGGTACGCCGGCGTGGAGGGATGTGGATGGCTAGGATCCCAACCACCAAATCTTCAACACTAAATGTGCTTCCCACCAGAATCTGGGTTTCCCGCCAAGGTTTAGGGATGACCGTCCCTATGAATCTTGGGCCTTCTCTTGGTGACGGTCCAAGGGGTAGAAGCCGAGCGTGTTCGGCATATCCTCTGGCCACAGATGCTGGAGCATGCTGGGTAGCCTTGATGGCCGGCTTCTGAGGCCGAGCGTCGAGGGATGCCTTGGTCCATTTGTGGATAGCTACCCCATGGTGGGCTTCACAACCTGGAGACGTGCATTCGATGCTCCTTTCCTGTTGGGCTTTGGGGTTATTCATTTAAGGGGATAATGGGCCGATCCCGGGTTGGGCCTTTAATCCAACACAACTGTTCCTACCGGAAGGGCCCATATATCAGTCCGCCAGAAGATACGGAAATCATTATTGAGGATAACTGAGTAAAACGCAAATAATGGACCAATGAGGTTGCCTCACACTGCTGCATGCTAAAGGAATTCTCGATCTTAAGTGATTATTACAAATTTTGATCATGTGACCAACTGAGCTATTTACATAAACAACATATATACAACATATATCGTTATTAGTCTTTGCGTACAAAAGTTGCACACAAACTTTACAATGAGAATCAAAACCAAAGAAAAATAAAACTTGTATATATTGAATCAAAAGTGCTACTCCGTATTGCGTTTCCACAAAGCCCGCATACCCCAATTAAATTTGTACACGATCTTTTTTTTTTTTTGGATGAAATGTAAATTTGTATTAACACCCAAAGAAAAACTATACATCAAAAAGTTCAAGATCTCCTAAAACCCCCCACCCCTACCTAGTGTAGGAGTTAGGAGAGGTTTTTATTCGATCTAATCCAAAGTCAAAATTCAGAAGGCAGGGGCCTAAGTATACAATACCAAATGCCCAAAAGCAAAAAATCAATCGGTGCTGCCAACAGTGCACGCACACAGATCATCAAAGTTTACGCAAATATTATGATCAACAAGAGGTTATAAATAACCCTAACTCAGGTGAGCAAAACTTCATGGGTGTTGCAAGGTGCAAACACAGATGATGAGAGCCGCGGCCTCCCCACTTATAAGCAACAAGTCCATTCTTCAAAATCTGATCAAGTCATGTGGGTATATAGAGTAGAGAATCTTATACACCACATGTTTAGTCTTCGCAATAATCTCTGCTTCCGTCTTCATGCTATCATCAAATCTACATGCGTTCCTTGCCTGCCATATGTGATATGCCGTGGCACAGAATGCAAGTCGGACAGCTTTCGCCTTCAAAGTTGAACCTTTGTACTTCTTAAGTATCCATTTGACCGAGCTTTGCAGCGTGGTCATTTGGTTGTCCATGCCCATCCATTCCCTAATCTTACCCCATGTCCTGCACGTAAATGGACAAAGAAAAAAGAGGTTGTAACGACCGTCCCCAAAATGACCATTACGACACCCAACATTAAAGAGACTCGATAATCAAAGTGAAAATAAAGATACAATGTCTCGTCATGAAACTTTATATCTTATATACATAACCAAATCTCATAACAAAAACGTCAAATAACCAAAAGAAAATGTCTTTAAACAAAACATTTACACCTGATCAGGATTTTAAAACAAATATTAAAATAACCCATAGCAGTACCGTAGTACTAAAAACAAAACATAATAGATTGCCCGATCTTCTCCATTAACCCATCCAAAACCTTTTCACCGGCTCCATACATTCTCTCAGGCTTCTGTATCTCGTTTATTACCTATACATGAGAACATAAGAGAATAGAATTCTCGTAAGCAATAATGCTTAGTAAGTCACCATTTTATCCACTAAAAACATTTAGGGAACCTTAGCTAATCATAAATAGATATCCATGCTGAATACATCACACATATACTATAACCCCACATGATAACAACACATAAGCATCCATGTGTCAAACACCAAGAAATTTCCTTATTCATCATTCTTTCTTCTTATCTTATTCCTTGACTTATGGGCCCGTAGCTCGTGTCCTGGCCCCTCGCTGATGACCTCGGGTAGCTAGCCCTCAGCCGTCAGAAGCAACCCCGGGACTCCCCGCGGAAGGATGTCCCGCTCCGCTCAGCTCAGGTAGTTACTTGGGGGCACGGCTACCTTGTCACATTACTTAACTTTTATTACATTCATTATCATCCTCACTTCCTTTCATTGTTGGTTCCATATGAATCCAACCCAAAATCAAACATATAACTGGAAATTCACATATCTCATGCCATACAATTTCAAGCATTCAAGCACATACATCAAATTCAAAATTAGCTAATCTTCCCTACTTTATTTAGAACTATCATGTATAGGTGGTGGTGACTTACATGTTAACAGCGGAATCCAAAATACTCAAATAAGTGTGGCTCCTTGATAACGTCTTCTGGTAAGCTCTTACATGAAATCTTTATATAGAATTAACAGTATAGTTGAAGTTAGTTGTATCTTTAATTAAACCAAATTACTAAATCATGAGTTTCAGATTCACTCCTTACACGGACAAACTAAAAGTGATCTAGGAAATAGCTAAAAGGCAAATCTATTAACTTTGAAAATCAACTAATAATCCTCCACAAGAAGCTGCCATTTAAATAAATGAAAATTTCTTCACTTGTACTCATTATCGTAGTGACCAACAATGAATAACTATGAGAAGCACTCCTGATTTTTGGTCTACTATTACGGAAGTTTACTTCAACCTAAAATCAGTTGCTATAACCATTTTAATAAGAAAAAGATTCCTAATATAAAAATAGGACTACCAAGATAAAGGTAACTAAGCTTATGATACGACAAACACTAGGCTAATTGAAACAGATCAAAGCTTAATTCTTCAACTTATACGTTTAATAAGAAAATCAGTATTGGAGAGCTGCAAACCCACAGTTTCATAAAAAGTTTGATCGGTAAACATAAATCCCCAAAACTGGAAGAGTATCAAATCTTACTGCCAAAGTTTGCTCACCTTAGAAAATAAGCATACAAGGACTAGAAGTGAAGCTTACCCGATGGAATTGAGTATTTAGATAGAAACTTTTGATTGAAGGATTTAGGATTGAGTATCTTCAGAGAATGATAGAGAGACCTGGCTGCCATGACCGAGACATCTAGGGCTTTAGCTTTAGAAAATGTTTATATTAAACCGTAATTGGGCTAAGATTGGGACTTTAAGTGGGCTATGATTAGCAATTGGGTCATCTTTGAGATAATTTTCTGCCTGAGCTTCAAGAAATATACTCCCTTTAAATGATTAATTAATTAACTTTAGAACAATATTTACACATTTATTTGAGTTTCTTGGAGCTTACCGATCAACGTTATCTGCCACAAACAAAACATATTTAATTGACGAAAATAAATAATAATAAATGATTAATATGACTAGCTCATAAAATCGGGGTGTTACAACCCCTCCCACCTTATAAAAGTTTCGTCCTCGAAACTTAGAATAACTCGGGGTAACAACGTCTCACACTTCTCACATGGTTTTAGTGCAACTATAATAGCTTTACACCTCTTGGAGCATGTGTCTTTAAATTCAATGAATGGGTGCTGACTTTTCTTATTACCACATTAATCGAGTTTCTCTTATTGAGGAGACATACAACTACTTGTGACGTACACATAGCTCTGACAAAAGTTTTCTGCTATCAAGTATTCTTCTCATGTTTTGTGCTTATACAACACAAAATCCTAAACACCGAGCACAACATTTATTATGAATTGGTTTACTGACTTGCCCTATTTACTTATTCATATGAGGGCAGAAGATTATACAAAATCCTAACCTGTTTTAAAAACATATGCTTGCGTACACACCATAAAAATGATATTTAAACTTAGAACGACACTCCACCAGGGTGTGCTTAGTTCGAATTGGTCTTTTAAATTTTTAGGATATAAATCTTCCTAAGGTTCATCACTTCATCTTGGTTTTGTAAATTTTTAAATATCTTAAAATAGAGTGCTTCGCCTTCTTCCTATTTTACCGAATTCATCTTCACAATATGATTAAGTTATGGGAGAGGATAGAGTTTTCTAATTCACCCTTGTATCACTTCTGTCAAATAGATTGCTTTATTTACTAGCTTACTAGCTATCTCACAAACCGTTCATGATAACAGCGTTAATTATGAGACTCATACGTAAGCCTGGAACTTTTTAAAAAAAAAAAACAAAATTCTTAATGATACTAACACAATATTACGTATTATATACTTACTATTGGATCCTTAAGACGTGTTTTCTTCTCCTGCTTCATATGACACTCAAGTCCAAAACGTAATTTATAATTTTAGTAAAATCATAGCATTAGTATATATATTTACACTTCTATACCCTCTAATATCAAAACTGCTCAACACCGGAAAAAAAAAAACTTAATCTAGCTTATGAGAAAATGTTCATTTCTAAAACGAAATCCACTTTAGTTTGACTTGCATAATATATCATTTTTTTATATAGATTTATTATACTACTAAACTCAATCCATTGAAATTCAAGCATCTCGGAAGTATCTTTTCATCATGGTGAAATCCTTATTATGGTTGTAAACCCCTTGAACAAGAGCTATGCCTTAATTGATTAGTTTCAGAATTTCATGATATATATTAAATGAAATTTTGCCTTACAAAACTAACTTAACTTCACTGAACCACATATAGTTTTGAACCAAATATTATCTTCAACTAGCCTATGAGGGAAGTTACAGTTAACTATCCCAAATATAGAGCTTCTCATTCCTTTCATCTCAAATGTAGAGCTTCCCATTCATTTCATATCATTATATGCTTTCTATAATGATTCTATATCTCTATCCATTTACTTGTTATAGCATTTAAAGATAAAATAATCTGACTTTGGCATACTTAAACTTTACTTGATAGCTTCTTATTTACGATAGACAGATCACACCAAGGCAACCTCAGTTTTACATTATCAAATAGAACTCCTTTTTTTTTGTGTTACAGCATCCACATTTCATTTTGTTATGAAACTATGCTACATACATCTACACTATGTGAGTTGTAAGAGAGACGATTAAGAGCATAGACTTTGTGCTAAAAATACTTAAAGGGTGTACTGCTCTCCTAAGAGTAAGGTGGATGGGACTTCAAGTCTCCCGTTTGCAAAATCATATCCCTTCAATGAAAAGCACAAATATCTCTCTCATATTTGGAGTATGAGATAGAGAAGCAAATACAAAGAGCTCTTTATTATCTTGTGTTTAACGATTATACCCTTATTAGATTTATAATAAACTAAACACTCCAAGGAGGACGAGAATTATTTCAGGATACTTCACCCTCTCACAGCTCATTAGGGAAAGAAATGCTTAACCATTTTGATCTTTTTGCAAAGGACACTAGTATAAATAAATAGGACTCTTGTTTTGATCATATTCCAGAGTAGACTTTATTCATGCTATTTTACTCAACCTTTGAGTTGTTGATGACTCATAGCAAAAGAAAAGTTTGTGATGTCAATCTCTTTATACACTATATTCTCACCCATGCTTCTACTATTCAAAAAGCATACTAGTTCTCAACATAAGCTCACAGGATGCTGTCTACATATACTCGTACGTAAATGCTAAAAAGAGCTTGCTGGAACCATATCATATATTCTGTCAAAAGTCTCGTACTCTAGATCTTATCGTATTGAGGCACACTTCACAAATTCCTATATCATGTGATGTACGTCATTCTTTACATTTTTTTTTCTTTCCACAATGTGGCTAAAAATGTTGGATACCCACTCCGAAGGTATTTTCTCGCCTTCATAACCCAGATTACTATTTTCTTTAGTCACCGAAAATCTTCACGGAAATTGAAGGGTTCCATACCATCTAGTTAAAATAAAAACCATTGGTCTGAACCATCCCATGAGTTCTAAACTTACCCGTTTGATTAAACTAGTTAAGCAACCCCATAGGTTTCATTATTTCATTCTTTCATATTACGCCATGGGGACTTTACCATATAAGTGAGGACCGGTTTAACAACTACTGTGGGTCTATTATTTCTTCCTTTAATATTATGACACAGAATCTTTACCATATAATGTTATACCAATCAAATATCCGCCTAAATGTTAGACTCTCATTGAAGGCCAAGGTTGTTCTCCACTTGGACTTTGTTTAATATTTAGTTCTGGTCTTTTATGCTCCTCACCCTATAAGGACCTTCGTAAAGTTTCATAAACAACTTATTTGGCTAAGACAATTAAGTGTTATTGAAAACTTTTCGCTATCAGAAATTTTAGCAATTGGAGCCTAATAACTTTGACCCCAAGAGCCTTAGATCTCATCTCAATTCCATTATGATATTGGCTAACATAGCAAAACCTATTAATCCTTGACACGTTTGCTAGACCCTGGCCCACTGTCTAGCCTACCCCGTATGCTTTACGGTACTCCAAGAAACATCTCCATAATGTAATGAATACATATGACACATACATATATATCCAACAATTGTACTTAGTTCACTTATATGAAATAGTATTTATTCTTATATGCCTTTAACTACTCACTTACCCGAGAGATGCCGAGCGGTGCGTGGAAATGGATGGAGTTACGGAAGGACCTAGGCTCTGATACCAAACTGTAACGACCGTCCCCAAAATGACCATTACGACACCCAACATTAAAGAGACTCGATAATCAAAGTGAAAATAAAGATACAATGTCTCGTCATGAAACTTTATATCTTATATACATAACCAAATCTCATAACAAAAACGTCAAATAACCAAAAGAAAATGTCTTTAAACAAAACATTTACACCTGATCAGGATTTTAAAACAAATATTAAAATAACCCATAGCAGTACCGTAGTACTAAAAACAAAACATAATAGATTGCCCGATCTTCTCCATTAACCCATCCAAAACCTTTTCACCGGCTCCATACATTCTTTCAGGCTTCTGTATCTCGTTTATTACCTATACATGAGAACATAAGAGAATAGAATTCTCGTAAGCAATAATGCTTAGTAAGTCACCATTTTATCCACTAAAAACATTTAGGGAACCTTAGCTAATCATAAATAGATATCCATGCTGAATACATCACACATATACTATAACCCCACATGATAACAACACATAAGCATCCATGTGTCAAACACCAAGAAATTTCCTTATTCATCATTCTTTCTTCTTATCTTATTCCTTGACTTATGGGCCCGTAGCTCGTGTCCTGGCCCCTCGCTGATGACCTCGGGTAGCTAGCCCTCAGCCGTCAGAAGCAACCCCGGGACTCCCCGCGGAAGGATGTCCCGCTCCGCTCAGCTCAGGTAGTTACTTGGGGGCACGGCTACCTTGTCACATTACTTAACTTTTATTACATTCATTATCATCCTCACTTCCTTTCATTGTTGGTTCCATATGAATCCAACCCAAAATCAAACATATAACTGGAAATTCACATATCTCATGCCATACAATTTCAAGCATTCAAGCACATACATCAAATTCAAAATTAGCTAATCTTCCCTACTTTATTTAGAACTATCATGTATAGGTGGTGGTGACTTACATGTTAACAGCGGAATCCAAAATACTCAAATAAGTGTGGCTCCTTGATAACGTCTTCTGGTAAGCTCTTACATGAAATCTTTATATAGAATTAACAGTATAGTTGAAGTTAGTTGTATCTTTAATTAAACCAAATTACTAAATCATGAGTTTCAGATTCACTCCTTACACGGACAAACTAAAAGTGATCTAGGAAATAGCTAAAAGGCAAATCTATTAACTTTGAAAATCAACTAATAATCCTCCACAAGAAGCTGCCATTTAAATAAATGAAAATTTCTTCACTTGTACTCATTATCGTAGTGACCAACAATGAATAACTATGAGAAGCACTCCTGATTTTTGGTCTACTATTACGGAAGTTTACTTCAACCTAAAATCAGTTGCTATAACCATTTTAATAAGAAAAAGATTCCTAATATAAAAATAGGACTACCAAGATAAAGGTAACTAAGCTTATGATACGACAAACACTAGGCTAATTGAAACAGATCAAAGCTTAATTCTTCAACTTATACGTTTAATAAGAAAATCAGTATTGGAGAGCTGCAAACCCACAGTTTCATAAAAAGTTTGATCGGTAAACATAAATCCCCAAAACTGGAAGAGTATCAAATCTTACTGCCAAAGTTTGCTCACCTTAGAAAATAAGCATACAAGGACTAGAAGTGAAGCTTACCCGATGGAATTGAGTATTTAGATAGAAACTTTTGATTGAAGGATTTAGGATTGAGTATCTTCAGAGAATGATAGAGAGACCTGGCTGCCATGACCGAGACATCTAGGGCTTTAGCTTTAGAAAATGTTTATATTAAACCGTAATTGGGCTAAGATTGGGACTTTAAGTGGGCTATGATTAGCAATTGGGTCATCTTTGAGATAATTTTCTGCCTGAGCTTCAAGAAATATACTCCCTTTAAATGATTAATTAATTAACTTTAGAACAATATTTACACATTTATTTGAGTTTCTTGGAGCTTACCGATCAACGTTATCTGCCACAAACAAAACATATTTAATTGACGAAAATAAATAATAATAAATGATTAATATGACTAGCTCATAAAATCGGGGTGTTACAGAGGTGTGGCATTGTTTCCAAGTCACCCTTACAAAGGTCACATCTGTTAACTATATGCAAGTAGCCGAGGCTATCTTGAGTAGGTAGCTTATTTCTAAATGCAAGCCAAGTCATGAAAGAAAACTTTGGAGGGATGTATGATTTCCAGATAAAGCTCATCCACACCCTAACCGTCCCTTTAGTTCTCAATAATTCGTAAACTTTGCTTGAAATTAACTTGCCATTAATGGATCTAGAAGCTAAACCCATTATGGTATCATTTTGATTATTAAAACAGCCCTTAATTCTATCCCTTATTGATGCCAAACTCTTCAAGAAAATCGAATCTCGGCTATGTGGGACGTAGTCCCACACACTCTTACCAATGAGGTAAATGCCGTTAATCCACTTCACCCAAAGAGTGTCCTTCTTTAAGTGAACATCCCAAAGTGTTCGGGAAAGAAGGGCTTGGTTCCACACCTTTGCGTTCCGTATGCCAAGCCCCCCTTCCTCTCTAGGAAGGCATATATCATCCCACGCCACCTTGGCGTATTTCCCTCCCCAAAGGAAAATCCTACACATGGAAACAATACGATCAAGTATAGTCCGCGGCACGGGAAAGACTTGTAGCCAAAACGATTGGACCCCTTGGATCACCGATCGTATTAGCTCAATCTTCCCGGCATATGAAATTGATTTCGTATTCCAAGCATTTAAGAAGTCCAAAATCGTGTCAAGTAATGGGGCATATTGTGCCACCGAAACTCTTAACGGGGCAAGGGGAATTCCAAGATACTTGACCGGAAAATTTCCTTGCCCAAAATCAACAATATCCAAAACACTTTGAAGCTCAAACTCATTAACGCCACCTACAAAAATGTTTGACTTGTTATAATTCACCCTTAGGCCGGATGTGTCCCCAAACTCTTGAAGGGCTTTGACAAGTATTTCGATGGAATTTTTGTCGCCCCTAGAGAAGAGCATTAGGTCATCCGCATAGGCCAAGTGCGAAATATTTAGAGTCGCACATTTAGGGTGAAATTTAAAATTCGTTCCCTTAGTTTTCAAATTGAGTAACCGGGAAAAATATTCAAGGCAAATTACAAACAAAAGAGGAGACATTGGATCTCCTTGGCGAATACCCCTTTTTCCTTCAAAAAATCCATATAGTGACCCATTTAAAGAAACAGAAAATGATGCCGAAGTAACACATTCCATTATCCATTCAACAAATCTCAAAGGGAAGCCCAAGCCCTTAAGAACCGAATCAAGAAAATCCCATGAGATGGTGTCATAGGCCTTACGCAAATCCACCTTGATCATGCATCTCGGTGAGATTCGTTTCCTCGTGTATCCTCTAACAAGTTCCTGGGCAAGGAAAATGTTATCAACCATGAGGCGGCCATCCACAAAAGCACCTTGGGCATGATCAATTAATCCCGGAAGACACGGAATTAATCTAGCCGCAAGTACTTTCGTAATTATTTTGTATAGAACATTCGTACATGAGATGGGTCTATAGTCCGAAAACTTAGGAGAATGATTTGTTTTTGGGATGAGAGCTATCACAGTGTGGTTGATCTGCTTTAGCAACTTTCTCGAACGAAAGAACTCCTTAACGGCTAGGACTATATCATTCCCAACAGTATCCCAATTTGCCTTGAAGAAGGCAGACGAAAAACCATCAGGGCCCGGAGCCTTATCATTGCCAATATCAAATAGGGCATTTTTAATGTCCATCGATGTAACCGGGGCAATGAGGCTCTCATGGGCACTCGACTTGATTAATGGACCCGAGGGTAAAACCGAGGGGTCCAAGCCATGGCAATCAGAATTTGTACCAAATAAATCAATGAAAAAATTTACAAATTCATTCCCCACTTGATCTAAAGAGGTAGTAAGCGTACCATCCTCCAAGGTGAGTGATGAAATAGTGTTCCTTGCCAAATTCCTTTTAACGATTGCATGAAAGTACTTGGTGCATTTGTCCGCTTCGAGAATATGTGTAGCCTTAGCCCTTTGTTGGAAAAAGGTTGCTTCGGCCTCACCTAGGAAAATGGCTCTCTTTGAAGCTTCAGACAATTGGGCCTTTAGTTCTTGATCTCCCGGATCTTGAAGTGCCAGCTTATGCAAACGCTTGAACTCATCTTTTGCCGTTTTTGCTTTACTGGAAATATGTCCAAATTCCGTGGCATTAAGAGCCTTTAGGGGCCGTTTGAGGCCCTTAAGTTTCTTTACTAATGTGAATTGGGCCGTTCCAACATAAGTCTGGTTCCAATGCATGGCTAAAATATTGGCAAATTCCGAGTGTTTTAGCCACATATTAAAAAATTTAAAAGGCTTGGGTCTAGAAGAGGAGTTTAGGAGTATTGACACAACGGAGGCCGTATGGTCAAACTCTAGCTCCATTTCATGGAAATGGACCCTACAGCCAATGCTATTAATTCCCCACCCGTCATTAATTAAAACTCGATCCAGTTTAGCCCAAAGTGCACCCCTGTTCCATGTATAGAACTCCCCCGTGGAGGGTGCATCTTCAAGGCTATTGGCGACCTTGAAATCGAATAAATGTTGCATTACATACGCCGTAGGGGGGGTAGGACCCACCCTCTCATTCGGCGCACAAATACAATTAAAATCCCCACAAATCATCCACGGGTCCGAGATTTGGTCTCCCACCAAGGTCAAATGGTCCCAAAGGGCCTTCCTTTCAAGGACCGTATATAGCGGGTAAACAAACGTAGCAAAAAAGGATGTTTGCGTAATACGACAAGTACATCTAGTATGCAAGTGTTGGCTTTCTTTTTCCAGAAAAACACAATCCATCAAGTTAGGGTTCCACATGATCGCCATGCGTCCCCCGCTAATAAAATCAAAATTATTTTCAAACATCCAACCCGGCCACTTATTTAAAATATAATTATTAAATGCAGCCACGGTCATTTTAGTTTCCAAAAAGCATACTAAACTAATATTATTCAATTTAATATAAGAAGCAATAATACTATGTTTAGAGGTCTTGTTTAAACCTCTAACATTCCATACCAAAACCTTCGGCATCAAGATAGATAAAGATCCGTGGTGGGTCCTCCACCCGCGGCTGCCTCCTTTCTAGCACTTCTACGCTCCCTCCTCACTAGCTCCTTGTAGTAGCTCACATTGTTTTTGCTGCTAGGATCAAAGAAAGATAGAACGTTAGCAATAAAGATTTTTGTATCGAAATCATACCATGTGGAGTTGCGCTTAACCCCCGGAAGCTTCATGATACCGCTATGAGTGAAATAAACACCCGGATCATCCTCATTTGTGACGGGTTTGAGGTCAGCCCCCACTTTGATCAATGTCTCACCATCCGGAAGCTCATCAAGGTCAATGATAGTAGCAAGAGGCCTTCCTTTTTCATCCATAAAGACACCGGTAACAATGTCCTTGGAGTCCATCTCGTACATGCTCCTAATCACATAACCCCGAGGCAAATTCTCCAAAATCTCCTTACCATCTTTATCCTTTTTTATCACCATAAGCTTGTGATCCTCCTTTGAAAATTTTACACTTGGTCTCGGCTTTACACCCAAAGATGGGATAAATAATTCCTTCGCAATACAAACCCCCTTGTTTTCCACAATAGGTTTCGGTTGAGGCACACTGGCTTTGAACGTTGAAGCAACATCCACGGTAATTTTTCTTTTGTTATTACCCTTGCCTTCTTTTGTACACGATCTTTTTATTTTGACAAGTGCACAATCTTTATTTCATGCATCCATAAACTTCCGACCATTTATTATAGGCTAGTTTTAAGTTTGTATAATGGCATTGCTTGACACCAGCGAATATTCGGCAACCCAGAACCGGTAATATTCGGCAAATCCCGGTGTAAAAATTTCCGTAAGACGGGGCGGATCCAGGATTTCAGGATGTTCTAGATTGAAAAGTAAATATACTAGGCTTAAAAATTAGTGGGGTGGACTAAATATGAAAATATTAAAAATTTACACTTAAAAATTGAATTTTTTTTTAACCTGTCCTGGACTTCAGCCCACCATAGCCTATACATAGATACTCCCATTGGTAAGAGAGAGGAGGATTCGATCACCAATTATAAGCAATTATACACTGCTAGTTTCTATCATACGACTATGGTTGATTTGCTAATTTCGCTCTCCTACAAACTTAGAAGATGTCTTTTTTTGGAAGAAGATGATTTATACGGAGTATTAAGACAACAGAACGTAAGCAAGATACAATCACACAAAGAGTCCACTGTCTATTGTCCGTCCTTGAACCAGATTTATTACTTTAGGTATGTAAGATGCTAATTAAGTTGAGATATTATCATTAGCTTTTAATTAATAATAATAGTAATACCAAATGTCGCTAATATTATATTGTCCGATTGTGTGTGTGTATACCATTACAAATATAAGAAAAAATTAATATAATTTCTAATTTCTTAATATAATTAATATTTATTTTCTAATTTTAAATGGATTTTGAATTATGTTAAAAACTACTCTCTCCGTTCTCTAATACTTGTTCCTCTTTCCATTTTATGATTTTCTATAATAGTTGTCTCCCTTTTCATTTTTAGAAAGTTTTTTCAATAAATATGCCGAGTATCTATATATCTTCATTCTCTCTTCTACTTTTTCATTCTCTTTCAAATTTTTTCATTTAAACACAACTCACTACACCTTTTACACTACCCCTATTTTCCTCTTAAAACTTGTGCCAAATCATATAGGGACATCTAATAGAGAAGGGAATATGTAATACTTCGTATACAGTTATTTGAGCCAACAATTTCATTTTCTTTGCTTACAGTATTTTACACTCCGTATTTTATTTTTAGCAAATGTTGGCTGGTTTTTGTGTCGTTGATCAGACAGACCATGAAGTCCAGTTCAATTTTTACAACATATTTGCTTGATCCAAGACTTTCTTAGCTGCCGTGCGATCCAGTTTAATTTTTAGTTGTATAATAATAAGTAAAAGGGAAAGTTCCCGAAATAGGACTAAAACAATTTGAAAATTTCAAAATAGGACTGCCATGTTTTTTATTCCTAAAATAGGAGTAATTACTGCTAAGTTTGGAAAATATTGTCATGTTTGAAGTCTTGTACTGCCAAAACATGGTAGTAATTAGTCATATTTTGGGAATAAAAACATGTCAGTCCTATTTTGGAATTTTGAAACCTCTTTAGTCCTATTTCGGGTAATATGCCTAAGCAAAATAAGTAAAATTGTAGTTATTTTTTTATGACAATTGTCACATAAAACTGTTTTAGTTATTTTTATTTTAATAAATAAATATAGTACTTCATTATTCAACAAATTTCATTAATTTAGCTGCTCCAATCAGATTTTTAACATTTCCAACCTGTGTAGATTCATCCAAATTGAGAGGGCCGAGGATGGTTGGTCAGTATTCACGTTGTTGCGTACAAAGTTTCGAGGGACATACATACGATACGGACGGCCAAATAAACTCGTATATACACACCCAAAAAACATGATATTTTTTTTTGGAGAAAAAAACGCGATATTTTTAAAAAATGCGGAATGGTCAATCTTGCTTTATAGTGGCAAAGTTCCACGTAGAACATCCCATGAACGTGGCAACATAAAGCATGCCGTGGGATGTTTAAATACACCCCTCCCCTCCTTCCTATCTTCTGATCTCAGCACCACAAATTGGCAAAAACCCATTCACCTCAATTCAATTCTTTCTCTTTTCCTCTCTCTACAAGCCATACTTGATTACAATTATATGCTCACATACCTATATTATCATGCTAACTCCATCTGAAGTAACACCACCACAAGATCCTCCCTCCATTTCTTCACTTCCCCATCCCTTCACCATGTCTTCCCCTCCCATCACTCTCAAGGTTTGTCTATCTTCATCACTTGCTAAATCATTCATTACCATACACATGTATACACGGAATTAGTATACAAATTGTACACAACCTCTAATTGCGTCTGTACACAGACCCGTGGAGCCTTTGAGGCTGCTGAGACCTTTGCCTCAGGCCCCCAAAATATTAAGGCCCCATTTTACTCGTGTCTATGTATTACTACGGTTAGGACTTGATATTATTTAGTAAGGTCAATTCGTGTTTAGAATATCTCAAATCAATTCTAAAGGAATTCAAATACTTATCTATAGAAAAACTAACGGTTATCCCAAGCTACCAAGGCCAAAACGAATAGTTCCCAACTCCCAAGACTTCCTAATAAATACTACGTGTATTCCAATTATCAATTTATAAGGGTTTTCTAATTCTTTTTTTTCTCTAATTAATTCTTTTACAGTAATGAGTGATATTGCAACTGAAAATAAATAAATTTCTTTTACAATTATATTTTGGGATAATTTGAGTTTGCACCCCATTTTATTGTCAAAATTGGACTTTGCATCCCATTTTTAAAAAATTTTGTTCACCCCAATCCCGTATGAAAAGATAAAAATGCCACTTAGTCAGGATATGTTAAAGGCCAACAAAATCGTTAATACGAGGGCATTTTTGTCTTTTCATATGGGGTTGGGATGCAAGATCAAGGTTTTTTAAAAATGAAGTGCAGAGTCTAATTTGAACAAAAAAATGGGGTGCAGACTTTAATTACCCCTTATATTTTTTCCTAAAAAATAGGCCTCATTTCACTTTTTGTCTCAGCCCTGCCTTTCTCTAGACACGGCCCTGTCTGTACAAGGACAATTCTTTTGTTTGAAAATGAGCGGGGTTTTATGCCAAAATGCACATGTACACAGACACTTTACAATTTGTGTAAAAGTTTATATAAATTACCATAAAACATTACTTTAATTTGAGCATACCAATCTTAAAGTCCGTTTCATTTCGATATTGATATCAATTTTTTTGTTAGGAGTATAAACAATTACATGCTAGTAAAATAAACCTATGTAGCATCAAAACTTTCGAAAAAACAGTATGTTCTCATTTCCCATTTTTTCATTATTTTCACATTTCCGTGCAGTATAGAAATAAACTAATATATCAGAATATGTAAGATTTTCTAAAATTGGTTCTTAATTGTGGATATGGTGCAGTTCATGGATGTGTGTTATAGTGTGAAAATGGAGGAAAACAAAAACGGTTGTGAAAATGGGCTGATAAGCCGAATATTTTCCTCCCGTGGGCCCACGCAATCTGATCTTGAGAATCCAACGGCCCAGATTCGCGGGGAGCACACTATCCTGAACGGGGTTACGGGGATGGCTTTTCCTGGAGAGATCCTGGCCGTTCTCGGGCCTTCAGGCAGCGGGAAATCGACGCTTCTGAATGCGCTTGCGGGCAGGCTTCAAGCCCGGCCCGGTTTCACCGGAACCATCCTCGCCAATAACGAGAAACTGAGCAAATCGGTCCTCAAGCGAACCGGGTTCGTCGCCCAAGACGATATTTTGTACCCGCATTTAACGGTTCGGGAGACGCTGATTTTCTGCTCCCTGCTCAAGCTCCCCGGTTCGCTCACCCGCAGGGAGAAAACCGCCGCGGCTGACTCGGTGATCGCCGAGCTGGGGCTGATGAAGTGCGAGAACACCATCATCGGAAACAGCCTCGTGCGGGGGATCTCCGGCGGAGAGCGGAAGCGCGTGAGCATAGCGCACGAGATGCTGATGAACCCGAGCCTGCTGATCCTCGATGAACCGACGTCCGGTCTGGATTCGACGACCGCTTACCGGCTGGTTTCGACGTTGGGTTCGTTGGCTCAGAAGGGGAAAACCGTAATCACTTCGGTTCATCAACCGTCGAGCCGGGTTTTCCAGATGTTCAGCTCGGTTCTGGTTCTGAGCGACGGGAAGTGTTTGTACTTCGGGAAAGCGAACGAGGCGATGGCATATTTCGAGTCGGTTCAGCTGTCTCCTGCGTTTCCGATGAACCCGGCCGATTTCCTCCTCGACCTGGCTAATGGTATGTACGCAATTAATTCCTCCCCAATTGGCTAGTGTTTTATGCGATACTCCTACTGAGTTTTAATTTGCTATTCTACATTTCTTATATTCACTGTTAGATGGGTGATTTGTGGGTTTTTACTAATAAAATGTATAACAGCTTCTGGATTATAGGATTATATTATAAGGTACGTTACACAAGTAGCCGTAAAAGATGATCTTAAGAAAAAAAAGATAAGATGCTTACTATTTAATAAAAGATGTCTGTTTGATTAAATTCTGTTGAGTATCCAAGCTATGTTAGGATCAATTAATGTCTAAAGATCTAAACTTTCGCAGATACTACTACATCTACCATCTTAAAAAGATCTTATATTTTTTGAAAAGCTCTTAAAAATTATCGTAACAAACATATAACTAATTTTTTTTAAATATTTTTTTAGTTAGTACAAAAGGTAGAATGTAGGGAATTATGCACACAATTAACCTGTATTGTTGAAAGATTTAATTAAAAAACTATATGGGCCCAAAATTGATTTTTGCCACATGCATTTTTCTTATACGTAGTGTTGGTTAGTTAGGCTGGACTGGGTTTGACAATAGTCAATGTATAGTACTGCAGTATGTAGTAATCTTAATTTGCCATATTTGAACGGACAATTTTAAACCATAACATTAGGATTGTCTACTTCTACTATCTACAAGTCTACTTAGTATCTCCGTACACATTCAAAGTTTGAATGATTCAATGTATTTTCTGTTGGTTTGAAGCCAAAATGTCATATGACACCACATTTATTTACAGGAAATTGACACATATATGTACAATGTACAAAATGTGGGTTTTCTTATACTCTCTCCGTCCCAAATTGTGTTGCAAAGTCAACAATTTTTTGTCAACCAATAATAAAAGACAATTCTTCATATCGATAATTAATTCAATTTTTAATAATTAAATTTTAAATATCCAAAAACTACATTAAAATCTCTTCAAAGTTGTAATCTCCAAATCAGAATATAATTAAAAATTAAATCCTAATTAAGCAAATAAAATGAAACTGTTTGACCAAGAAAAGTCAAATTTGCAAATCAATTCGGGACGAAGGTAGTACGTAGTAATAGACTAGACGTCTCATCATGCCCGGCCCTGTCATGCCCGCAACACATTTCCTTGAAAGAAACATTCCAAAATAAATTACTACCTCCCACAAGACCGCCGGGTGCCTACCAAGAAGAGTGGCGAGGATTAGGGCAATAGGGCTTTAACGAGCTTAGTCGAGCCCGAAGATGCAAAACTCGAGTTCGACTCATCAAGGTAATAACTAGTGCTCGGGTTCGAACTCGAAGCTTGAGGACCTATACTAATAGAGCTTGAGTTTGTCTCGCGAAGTTCGACTCGCGCACTCGATAATTTAAGGCTCTATAAGCATGTTAGAATGTAGAAGTTTTGGTTATGCTCGTTAGTAGGTTCGTGCTTGAACTATTCGACAAGACTCGGGTGTTTAATAATCATAATTAAATCTATAAAATCACATCAAAGATGTTTAAGTTTTAGGATATACTACCCGTGTTCAGTAAAACTTGGTCAACTCAACTTTCCTTTTCTGGCCATCCCAAAATACTTTAGGTTATTACTGCTATGCACAAATATCAATAACACCGTTTGTATTTCATTATTCTACATGCAAGTCGGTTTTGGCCAAGTTTTATGGCATGAAGGGAGTACATTTTATTCCAGTAATTTACAAGTGTATGATAGGCTCAGATCAAATCAAAGTGAACACTACTATATTCGAGCTGGGTTCGAATAAGTTTTCGAACTCAAAATCCATCTCGTGTTAGATTCGAAACTAAGCTCAATAAAGTAGTTAGAAAAAACACAACTTGACAACAATCCTACCGAGGACATTAAGAAAGTAACATGATTAATAATATGAATAAGATAAACATAAATTAGTATCACATAAATATTACGGAGTACTAAATGTGATAAATGTACTTCCTCCGTTCCATATTAATTGCAACAGTCAACATTTCACGTTTGCCAACGCACAAGTTTGATCTTTAATATCTTTCATTCCTTATTAGTTAAAAAAATTAAAAAATTCATATTTTGAAATTTTAGAATGAGAAGAATTTCACAATAATTTTTTAAAAATTTAATTTATAATACATTAATTAATAAAATATAATTAAAGTAGAATGTGTAAATAGTGCAAAAAGTCTAATGTTGCAACTAAAAGAGAACGGAGGTAGGATTAGACAAATCAGAAAAGAAAGATAAAACAAAGCTAGTGGGATATATACTAGTACTAGTATGTTGTATGGAGTAATATTTTCCCACCATGCTAATCGATCAATACTTCAAAACTTGCCTAATTTTTTGTTGGGAAAGCGACGGTTGTTGTAGCTTGAAGATGAGATGGGTATCTCTCTATCTATCTTCTACACATATTTGCATCCTAATAGTAAATGTGGATAAGACTTAGGATTGGATATTTGGATGTAATGTATGTCCTCTGATCTGTCTAGACTTGATGACATGGGTACATGCTTTCCATTTCCCATTCCGCTACGTACCTTAGCTTGAAAAGTGCCCCATCACTAGGGATGGATGGTGAGGTAAGTATCAATAAGAGTTGGTGAGCAAAACACCATAAAATCTTTTTTACAAATTTAGCGGTGATTTGTAGGAGATTTTAAAAAATTTAAGAAACAAAAAATGACTAGAAACGAATCATTAATGTTTCGTTCGGTTCCATATCGATTATGTTCTACACACATTTTATGAGAATCGATCAATACTAGAAATTGAGATTTTTTTAATGGTTGTACTCCCTCTGATTAAAAAACAAGTCCCATATTTGACTTCACATATATTAAGAAAAGAAATTTGACTTTACTGAGTGCACTGTTTGGACAATGTTTGGAACTGTTTTGATGTAGATAATTTGCCAAATAAGGAAAGGTTTGAAAGTGGAACTTAATTTTGGAACTGCCCGAAAAGGAAAGATGAAACTTGTTTTTGAATCGGAGGGAGTATATGTTTTGCTTAAGAGTCGAACTGGTCTTAGACCTATTTTCAACCCAATGTAATGTATGATTTAATGACCTATCTCCAACCTTGTAAAACGGTTGAGCGAATTGATTTACTTATTAAATCTCGAAAAGTCTCACTATCAAACGCGTCATAGAGATTCTCAACAAAAAACAAAACTAGAAAATACTAGCATATGTAGGGAGTGTTTGCAACTGCTTCTGTTTAAAAAAAACACTTTTGGAGATGTAAGAAAAAAGTGATTAGTAGGAAAAATTGATATTGTTTGAGAAAAAAGTGATTTTGAAAAGTAAAAGCTGATAATGTTTGGTAAAATAAGTGTTTTTTGTGTAATAGAAAGAGGAAAAACACTTTTCACACGCAAGCCGAGAAAAGTAAAAATTGGTAATGTTTGTTAAATAAGTGCTTTTTTAAGGCAAAAGCTGAGAAATGCTTTTTTTAAGTGATTGCAAACACTCCCGTAGTCTACCAAGCGTGCACCAAGAAATTAGACATTATATTCCAATGATGCCAAGAGAGATTAGTTTATCCGGAAAAAATTAAACATCAAAAGACAAAAAAAGATACAGAGTATTATTAACAAAAAAATAAAGAGTATTTACCCAAAGGTCAGACGTTTACTAGACCAGTTAAAATCAGACCAGATTAGATCAGATCAAACCAGCAAACTTCAATCCAACAGATAACATACTTGGTATGTAGATGAAACACAATGTTATTTACGAACCCGCACGTGTAGCTCAGTTGGTTCAATGGTTGGAAAATTTGGAGAATGACCAAGGTTTGAAACCCGCAGCGTCCGTGTGGAGGTCACAAATAAGGTTGGGCCTCTGGTACGCACGGGTAAAAGGCCTACCGCCATTGGATCGACTGAATTACCGCGACTAACCTCCCCATCATCCTGTCAGGTCGGGGTGGGGGACTTCTGGGGGGAGATTCCACATTTTTTGGAGAGTGTTATTTACGGAGCATATCCTTGAAGATTATTGCAAAAATCGTTTTTCTTGAAGATTATTGCACGTGCATACTATGGGGCCGTTTTGAGCCTTGAAAATAGGCTGATAAGCCTTAAAATGTAAAAAAAGAGCCAAACACTTGTCATTTAGGCTGTTTGGGCTAATTTTCCTTACCACCCAAAGAAGTAACAAAAGAGTTACTTTTTCAGCTGAAAGGTATTAATGGACTGTTTAAAATCAAAAGTACTCCTCTGCCCTCGCTGTAGTACACCTGCCGGAGAGAAAATCTAAGATCACATTTTGATCGCCGGTCCAGCTAAGTGTATATACGGAGTAAAAAGCAAACAAAGTATCTTTCCAAAAAGTGGGTAACACCTATACACTTTTCATGAATTAATAGTATTCCAATTGAGCTTTCCAGATAGTGTTAATTACGTCGTTAAAAAAAAGAATAGTGTCAATTACGGTTGCAGCCAATCACCCAAGAAATACCCTTACTGGTAATTTTATATTCAATCAGTCATTACAGCCAACATATTATCAAACGCTTTCATTTCAGCAGATTCAGAGCCCGTTTGGAGAACTCTGTTTTCGGCTTATCAGGCTTATCAGCCAGCTTTTTCACCAAACACGTAACTTTTACTTTCGCGCGCTGAATTGTGTAATAAGCCGAAAAAGTAAGGTTGGAGTTACTTTTCTGGCTGTATTGGCTGAAGTTACTGTAGAAGACCATTTTAGCTATTTTTACATATAATTTTTTCTTTAATTTATTAATGAAATATATTTTTAAAATATTTTTTTCTTAAATCAGCAGAATCAGCCAAAACAGCCACTCCAGCCAGAATATCATAAATTTCAGCAGAATCAGCCAAAACAGCCGATTTTGGTGCTACCAAACGGGCTCTCAGTCTTTTCAGGCTTTTTCAGCCATTCCAGTCCTTTTAATTGTATCCAAACAGGCCCTACATAGTTAGGAATCCTAGGATAAAATGAGAGCCTGAGCTGTCATTTAAATTAGTGCGTCACATCTAATCAACTTTGGCAGCCGTATATATCTGGCCGGCTGGTAGGCGAGTCAATCAGTCATCACTTATCGATTAGCAACGCTCTATCTTATGGAGTACGTAAGACTGAAAACTCGTCATTAGATTTTGTAAACAGTAATGTTTTTTTTAATCTAAACAATAAAGTCTGATCTAGTTTAAGACCGAAATAAGTTTAAAAAAAATCATACTCAGCCTACCCGAACATTCTAAATAAAAGTTATTGCGGTATAGTGTGATGGTCACCATTCTAATGAACTCTTAAATTCGAATGTAATATCCTCATATCCCCTTGCCTATAGAATATTACTGGTGGAAGATATCAATTCGTGAGATCTTGTTCATCAGAAATTTTGTATTGTTTAGCTTTAAATTTTTGTATCCGACCAATATGACCAATGATAGTGGTCGTAGATCACGATGATCCATGGAAAAGCAGTGTCCAATGTGAGTTGATATCCTTTGCAAGGTTTGTATATTAATGACTATTGAGGGATTAGGATTTCCACTGGCTAGCTAACTTTTTTTGACAATTATTGTGATGCAAAGGAATGGGAAGAGGCCTTAAACCCCAAATACTTTTAAGGGTATACATGTCTACGTTATTATACATTTAACCCATACGAGTAGCTCAATGGTGATTGAGTGAGATAGTTGAGTTTTTTTCGGATTGAAGTTCCCGACTCCCCCGGGCCCACGATTGGTCAATGTAGAAGGAAATTGTGTTCACTCGTGACTATTATTTAGAAAAGAAACTATTCAACACGATAATGATATTCTAGAGTAAGGTTTTATGTACTCTTTCCGCTTTTTATAGTTGCACTCTACAATTGTTCATGGAGTTTAGAAATAAAATAGTAGGGGTAATAAATAATGCAAAATGTGAAAAAGTAAGGTCATGGTTGCCAAATGCAAATTGAACATATACTAATAAAACTGCTTTTGACTAAAAATATGAAACAAGTAAAAAACAATACGAGGAGTAATACACAATTACACAGTTGATGTGAGCTTTTTACTATACAGCACTCCAATAATCATTTTTTTTCATAATTTCAATGTGTATTCATGTTCAAGGAGATCATAATCTACTTTGCATCCTAAGGATGTTTTTACTTGGACTGTAATTTGCCCCAGACCAGACCAGACCAGACCAGTCCAGACCAGACCAGACCAGTTCAGACCAGACCAGACCAGACCAGACTTGGATAGTTATAAAAATACAAAGAAACCAGACCTTACCAGACCAGACCAGACCAGTTCAGACCAGACCAGATCAGACCAGACCAGACCAGACCAGACCAGCAAATTACAGTCCAAGTAAAAACATCCTAAGGCCTTGTTCTCCTAGATTATACTCCGTATTTGGTATGTCTGGGCTTTTATAATCAAGTACGTAGTATATATGTTAAGATCCGGGGTTCCATCCTAAAAGGTCAACCCAGATAGGAGGAGTAGCCCGAAGCTTAATATAGCACTCTAGTGCTTCACAATTTTCCGGTGTGGGACATTTAACACCCCTCCTCACGACCAGACACTTCGTCTGGATCGTGTCGTCATTCATTTTTTCATCGGTTCGTCAATTTTTTTTTTTGTCGTGTCGTCATTTTTCATAAGGGGCCCCACACCATGGATCGGTTTGGCTCTGATACCATGTTAAGATCCGGGGTTCCATCCTAAAAGGTCAACCCTGATAGGAGGAGTAGCCCGAAGCTTAATATAGCACTCTAGTGCTTCACAATTTTCCGGTGTGGGACATTTAACAATATATGGTATTATGTGATCACTTTACCTTCTATGTAATTGGACTTTTTTAACTGCATGTGAACATGTTTCACTTCTAATTATGTCTTCGTTTGGATTTATTTCAATTTCAAACTAGGATAGACTTTGACACTTAGTGCATGTTTGGTAGGGATAAGTCCCTACCTTCAAGCTTTTGTATTATTCAATTTTTTTTAAAAGTTTCTAGTTGTTTGTTTGACAAACCAATTTTTAAGTGTTTTTTTAAAAAACAAAAGGTCTTTTTTGAGATACTATAGTGAGTAGCATCTGAAAAAGACTATAATTTTTAGCATTAATTAGTTCCAACAGCTTCTATATCAAACATAACTAAATCAACCATTTATTAGTCAGCTACATCTTTTTTTGAAGATCTTTTTGAAGTGAATTTGAATTCCGTCATCCATGCTCTCTCACTACTTTACGTCTTTATATACAACTTTTTGTAAAACCTACCTCACTAGAAAGCATCACTAGTTAGCATTCTTTGAAAATTATTTCTGTTCTTATCAATGACTCTGTACGACTATACTATATCATCTGGTCAATGATTCAAAATCCTGTCGGATTTCAATATCAATTTGGAGAGTGGGAGACATGCTGATATCATAATCTTTCTTTCATCCACAATAACATAAGAAATACTGCTATGTTTCTATCTATTGGTCAAGATTAACAACTCCTTTTTCTTACTTTTTCATTTATCTGTTTATAGATAATACACACATTAGATATTGTTTTAATAGCTATCCTCATGGATGACATTTAGTGATGACATATGTGGCAAAATCATTTAAAGTTTGGTTGTTTTGTCTCCTCACTGTTCTTCAATAGCCCCACTTGGTTTCTTGTTATTTTAGAGAGATCCAGAATACAACAGGATAGATGTATAATTTAAGTTAAAAGTTAGCATTGTAAGTTTGACAGACAGATGTATTAAGAAAGTTAAAAAAACGTGTGATAGATTAATTAATCATCATCATCATTACTCCAGTGCCGCAAAGGCCCCCATGGGGTTGGGGGGTCGGATGTACGGAGTCTTACCTCTGTACTAAAGCACAGAGAGACCGTTTCCGGATGACCCATAGTGAAAAACGCGTTGAAAATTGCATGGACTAACTGTTTCCGGATGACCCATAGTGATCATTTTGTTTTATTCCATCATATTCTCAAGCCAAAAAATAGTGACTTTTTGGCTTCATTGCAAATGATGGAAAATGATAGATTCATCATCATTTACCCCAGCGCTACAAAGGCTCCCACATACGGTGGGGTAATGGGGGGTCGGATGTGCGCAGTTTTACCCCTATACTAAAGCACGGAGAGACTGTTTCCGGATGACTCATAATGAAAATTGCGTCCAAAATTGCATAGACTGACTGGTTCTTCATAACAAAGAAGAGCAGACAGTTTGGTGAACCATTTTGCTTTATTCGATCATATTCTCAAGCCAAAAAATAATGAATTTTTGGCTCCATTGCAAATGATGGATCTATGGAAGATGATAGATTAATTAATAAAATTAATTAATTGAAAAGAGAAATTATCTATGTCTTTAGGACAACCAATGATGAAAAGATGGTAAAATTATAAAGAATAGTGAGTATATAACAGGGATGTAACACATCTTTGTTTTCAATCTCAAACCAAACAGAAAAGGGCTCCAAAAATGCCCACTTCCAGACCTCGGGCCAACTCACTGGCGAGTCGGGTATTCTAATTGGCTTCTCACTTGCAGTCTCCAGAACCCAATTTAAACCAAATTGAAAGAATTTCCCTTTTTTTAACACAACTTAGAATAGTATTTTCTATTTATCTTTTTACTCTTACGTTAATAGATTCTTACTCTTGTAGGATGACAATTTTATATAGTGTTTATTAGGCATGACAGCATTTAGCATGCATGGTCCCTCTTATCTTTACCATTAACATTCTTGGATTTCTTTAACTAGTTATTTATCCAAATATGCTATGGAGTACTATAACTTTTTGAAAAAAATCAAATTAGTGGCTATATGTCTACATGCTCATTCATGGATAGTTGTAGCTTTACTTATCCAAGTTTTTTATAATAATATTCATAATGGATTATAGGTTTGGGAAAATTGTATTAATTCTCACAAAATTAAGTGTCATTGTTTTTGTAGTACAGAAATCAGCAGTACAGTAAACTTTACTTTATCCTTGATATATATGGATGAGTAGTTTTATTTTTCAAGCTGGAAAGACCTGCTTGATTAGTGATTTTAATTTGATGATCATAGTATGTTTCTATATGCAGGTGTTTGCCAAATTGATGGTGTGAGGGAAAGAGAGATGCCTAACATGAAGCAGAACCTAATCTCCACTTACAACAAATTGTTAGCTCCCAAAGTAAAAGAAGCATGTTTAGATGACACAACACCCAAAGAAAAACTTTCGAGTGAAAACGCTATCACTCATAAAGGTTGCGGCTTTCTCAATCAACTCACCGTTCTTCTCCAAAGAGGACTAAAAGAGCGAAAACACGAGGTGTTTAATTCCCTCAGGGTTTTTCAAGTCCTTGCTGCCTCCTTGTTGTCTGGTACAATGTGGTGGCGATCTCATTATGAAAATGTCAATGATCGTCTCGGCCTCCTCTTCTTCATCTCCATCTTTTGGGGCGTTCTCCCGTCATGCAATGCAGTTTTCGCGTTCCCGCAAGAGCGTGCTATCTTCATGAAGGAAAGGGCTTCCGGCATGTACACATTACCCTCCTACTTCATTGCACGCATCCTAGGAGACCTTCCCATGGAGCTAATCCTCCCAACGCTTTTCCTCACTATATTGTATTGGATGGCAGACCTAAAACCCGACATCTTATCTTTTTGGTTAACCTTGCTCGTTTTGTTGGGATACGTCCTTGTATCACAGGGGCTTGGCCTCGCCCTCGGTGCCATAATCATGGATGCCAAACAAGCATCAACCATTGCGACAGTCACCATGTTAGGTTTTGTTCTAACTGGAGGATATTACGTGCACAATGTGCCATTGTGCTTGGTGTGGATGAAGTACATTTCCACGACATTTTATAGCTATAGACTTCTTATCTATGTACAATATGGGAATGGCAAGGTGATCTCATCTTTGTTGCGTTGCTCACACCGCGGAAGTGATCGAGCTAGTAGTTGTAAATTTGTAGAGGAAGATATTCAAGGCCAAATTCATCCAGCTACATGCGTTGTCATCTTGTTGATGATGTTCTTTGGATACAGGTTGATGGCATATCTTGCATTGAGGCAATTGAAAGTCTAAAATGACACATGTATTGCCTTATTCTAAAAAAAGTCATGTTTTGTATACTAAAAGTAGTATAGTGAAAAAGATTTATTAGAGGGAGTGACATGGAGTAAATTTATGATCATTGGGATCAGTTCAGAATTCAAGAACAAATTATTATTCCTTTTCACTTATGTGGTCAACCTAGTTTAATTTCAAAAATTGTAAATTAATTTGTTGTTGCTGTGGAAAACATTGTGTTATGTTATTAGTTTATTACTGGTGGAGTTGATTACTTCATGTTATTCAATTTAAAGGACATGGTTTTAGTTTCTGCACAAAGAAATAAAGTAATTAAAAGAAACTTCATGTTTATTTGTATTATTCCAACTTGTAATTATACATTTTAGAAGCTAAATTTGATAAAAGAAACAATCATGTTGTCTTATTTCATATATAATCTCAAGACCGATATATAAATATGTAAGAATTATATTGCAATCATAATCATAATTTATAAATATGTGTAGATATTTAACGACCTGAAGGAACAGAGGCCGTAGGTTTTCCCTAGCGAGAGCTTAGGGTGCGATTTTTTGCCGTCTTGGTGCGGCGCTAGTTATGTCCATCACTGGTGTCGTAGTGCGAGGTTTGGATGATCGTGGTAGCAGCGACGGACATGGTTAGTGGGGAGTAGAAGTTGATCGATCAATTCAATGGCATGAGTTTGGGTTCTACGGCGAGTGCGATAGTGATAGATGATGGAGTTTCTGAATCTGACTCCGAGGCGACAGCGAGATAGGTAATCAATAGAGCGACGAAGGTCCGACCTCCTCCTGAACCATCGCCAGGGGTTGAACGAGGTGCTAGGGTTCAAGACATTTATTTTGCTTATTTATTTCTTCTTCTGCTTCGTCCTTCTCCGATGAGATTTTGTTATTTTGTCATCCGGATTCTTGTTACTGTCTATGTTGTTAGGTGTGTTAGTTTGTTTGGGATTTTCTCCCTTTTTCATGTCATTGGGTATGATTGGATCTTTGGAAACAGGGATGATTGTGTCAAGCCCGGTACATGGTTAGCGATTCATGTTGCTCTTTCAGGGGTGACCGTCTCTAAGTCTGACCATAGGGTTTTAGTCGTAGTTGTCGGTGTCTAGTTGCTGTCAGATTTATTTTTCATTTCATAGATGTAATGATCCTGAAACTTATGATATGAATAGAGGCTAGTACGTTTTCGTTAAAAAAATCTAATCTCAAGACAAACTGATATGCACTAATTAGTAGTGCATAAGTGTATGTTTTTATGTTTGATTTGTGTGTATTGTTTATCGTTTTATTTAGTTTGTAAACATTTGTGTGATTTTAGTTATAATTGTATTTTAATCTTCATTTGTAAGTTGGAAAGTAGAATTAGGAATTATGGTGTTGGAAAAAGAGACTTTGAAGTGAAGAAAAAGTAGATTGGACTGTCCAGGAGCTGAAACCCGACCGGGTATAACACTTGACCCGGTCGGGTAAGATTTAACAAACGAAGAAGCTCAAGAATTTTCCAGACCCGGTCGGGTCTGACTTGACCCAGGACATTTTAACGTGCTAAAACACAAGAACGTGGGAGATTATCTGATTTTGACATGCACCCGGTCGGGTGAGCACTTGACCCGGTCGGGTACCCGGCCCAAAGTGTTGAAAAACACCTATAAATATCACACTTTTCCTTCACAAAAAATCATTCCTTCTTCCATACTCGTAAGCTCAGTTTAGAATGATATTTCTTTTATATTTTTATAGCATGTTTAGTCTCCAAATGAGGAGCTAAACTTCCATATCTTGGTTTTGCTACTTTGAAGTTTAATGAATTGTAAGTTGTGAGTTATTTTTTTTAATCTTCTTCCTTGAATATTAATTAATTCCTATTCCTATTTCGTATTAATATTTTGAGCATTACTTAAAGTATCAACTAGTTTTGTTTCATATATTAATAATTACTAGAATAGATCGATTAATACGCTTGTTATTAATTCGGTCTTTTCACGGTAGTAAACTTGAGTTGTTAATGCATGCGTCTCATAGTTAATAACCGAAAGGGAATTAATTATATTGATTAAACCGATAAACCGCTTGTGTTTAGGTTATCAATCTCAATCGTTTTCATCTTGATTTTATTGCTATTATCGGGTTAATATATGGCGTGTGTTCTATATTAACTCGGTAGTAAGTTTTATTAATGAACCCGTCTCGTTATTAATAACTACCCTCGATGAATTGGATATACTCCTCGATCGAGTATTCAAGAGGAAGATAGTTAAAGATATAACCGAGATCAACGAACATTTCATTAAGCGGATAAAAGCAAAGCCAAGTCTTCATCTCTATTAAGTAAACCACATAAGTCGTTCATCTTCGTGTTTAATTAATTAAACTAAATCAAACTAAAATCCCCCTTTTGTTACTAGTTCTATAAAAAGAAAAGTATTCATTTCCCTGTTGATACGAACATTACTACACTATACTACGTATTAGTGTTGTATTGATTATTATTTTGAGTGCATACACGACAAAGTGCACGTCACAAACATATTGTTGAAACGCATTGTTTTGTTGATGACAAACATCTAGGGTAGTTTTGGTTATAAGTGATTGCAGGAAAAGAGTTTAAGTCGTGCTCTGGAACAACCCGTAGAATTGGTCCTAAAACTATGTACGAACTCAAGATTGACTAATTGGCTTACTTTAAAATATGATTTCTCTCCATTGAAATTCAGATTTGTCTTGCTAAATTAAAGAGAACTTTTGAGTAGGAAAATAATCAATGATAATGATTTTTTTATTGAAAAGAATGTTATTTGAATTAAAGTCATTAATTAAGAGATCTTTCTACAAAGCAAGTTTTCAAAAATAAAAACATTTTGGGTTTTCGTGTATCTCCTCTCAAAAGGAATGTTTCCTTAACAAAATATTTTCCTTCAAACAAATGAAAAGAATATGTTTTAATACCTATAAGGAAGCATTATCTTTTAATAATTTTCATGCAAAGATGACCCAAATATATATGGAGATTCGAGCACATTAAGCAGTATACATCAAGTCCTGATCCAGCATATTTAAGAGAATCGAGCTTAAAGGAAAGAATCTATCCTCAAAAAGGAAAGATACAACAAAGGAGAGTTTGGCCAATAAGGAAAGCTTTTAAATGTCATAAAGCCTTGACAGTTCCTAGACATCCCTATATATGACCAGGCTCGTGCATAGAAAAAGAGTGCTTGAACCGAAAACATATTACTTAGAGAAGGAGAGTTATACACAACAATGCCCTAGAAGAGCAAATACCAACAACAGTTCTATTAACGGTTTTATCCTTGTAATTCATTTACTTCTATTGTATTGGGGTTACATTTGAGAATGTTTTCCACCGAGAGTTGGGGTGTGAAGCGAGTTCTTTGTTGTATAGCCGAGAGACTCTTTACACACAAGATAGGTAGTGAGAACTCTACCTAGAGAGGTTAAAGTTGGGGGGGCTCAAGGGTAAACTAGGAGAGATTATCTTGTAACTTGATTAAAGGCTTTTAGTGAAAAAAAATCAAACTCCTCCGAGAGAGGTCGATGGTTTTTTAATCCCTGTTGAGCCAAGGGATTTTTCCTCTTTAAATCTATCAACCTAACCCTAGAGGACTTGACGGGTTCACTCATGATATATGAGTTAGGATTACAAGAGGAACAAGATGCTGAAAATGTGAGAAAAGAAAGAGGCATTGATCTCAAGGCACGAGAAGAAGAGGGCTCTCAGGATGAAATATGAGGATGAAATGAGCATGTATGCTAAGCAATTTGAAAAAAAATGTACATACGGTTCAAGAACAACAGAAACAAACAAGGTAAGAAAAGCTTTCAATCATTTGATAATCAATGTTGCTTTGTTTGTGGATCATTTGAGCACGGGGCGAAAGACTGTTCGCAAAATAAGAATGATAGAACCCAGGATAGGAACAAGACGAGTTCTACCCGGCGGTTGAACGAAGATAAATGATTCAATAAAGATCTGAAAAAGGCAATGATGACTACTTGGGGAGACTCATCATATGGTGATGGGAACGAAAGCGGTAAGAGTCTAAATCAGGCTGAAATATGTCTCATGGCCCACCCCGATGCGGAATTCGACCCAGATAACTTTGAGGTGAGTTTAGCCAATGTTGTTTCTAAATTTGACTCTTTACCCAAAAATAAGATTCGGAGAATTTTCAAAAGGTTGAATGTCGAGCTGTCAAATTCTTTCTGAAAATGATCATCTAAAATCATAGATCACTGAACTTGAGTCTAAACTCGAGTAAAGCACACGAGCCAATCTAAGGCTTGAGACTAAGTGGGAGAGTTATTTGACGATAAACTTAAATGCAGTGAAGTGGTTTTGGAGCAAGATACCAAATGCAGTGAAGTGGTTTTGGAGCAAGATACCATTATTTGTTATTTAAAGCTCGATAGCATGAATAATAAACTCGAACATTGAGAAAAGCTTCTTCCGAAAATTTTGAATCTTGATTTGTTAAGTTCTGAAATTGATTGCATTGAGTCTGAAAAACAGTATTTTAAAAATAAAAATTCGGACACTAAGTTTTAGTATTATAGTACCAAGAATAAAACCAGGTCTAGAATTGATTCTAGAACTGGACTGGACTCTCACGGTACAATAAGGGATCAAAGAATCAGAGACCTGGCCTCGGATACAACCCCAAACCACGTTTTAATGAAAAACATATTTTTCAGAAACATACATTTGAAGGGAACAGAACCAGAGGACAAACTAGTGTTAGTACAGATAGAACTCATCCTAGAACTGGACCTTTCTGATACATAAAGTTGTTCAAAGGCATAAAGCTGGTCTCGGACAAAAGCCGAACCAAACATTTCTAAAAGAAGAATCACGTTTGATAAAACAAGGAAAACAAAATAAGTTGATACTTGGGGGGACCCAAAATCCACTAACCGAACCGACCCAACTCAATGAAAATAACAATGGTTTGGGTTTTTTTTTTAAATGACCGGTCCTGGTAAAAATACCCAACACAAGCCCGAAATCTTGGGTATTTCTTCGGGTTCTAAAATTTTAAGCCCGACCCGAACCGAAATACCCGATTTAAATAAGAAACTAAAATATATACTCCGTATATATAATACATATGGACTATTAAACACTTAGCAGTTACAGGGAGTACAATGATCCGTAAGCACTTAGCAGTTACGGGGATTACAATGATCAAACTCAAGGCCACTTCTTATATTTTGTCTATCAAACAATTTTATTATCTTGCTTTCGAACCAATTGTTCTTCTACAACATTTTTTACCATGTGATTTTAGATTAAAGTTACTCTTTTTTAATTTTGA